GTGCTGGAGGCACTGTGCTGTTATTCAATCTGTTGTCGTTTATAGCAATGTAACGAGCTCTAGGCGCCCCTGGAGTCTAGTCTGACAGAGGTCGGCTCTTAGGTGGGTAATGGATCGGCAAACTGTCGCAGTCGACCTTTTCGTTGGAAATGCGAGTTCTACTGATTCTGATAGTCGTCATTGGGAGCTGCTTCTGCGATTCAAATGGACGGGTTTCTTCGCCGCGCACTACAACTATCACGACTACGAGAACTACAACTGCGAAATCTACATCTACGAGGGCTACTACTACCACTACTACTACCACTACTACTACTACTACTACCACTACTACTACCACTACTACTACTACCACTACTACTACTACTACTCCTGCTCCGCCAACTGTGCTTAATGCTACCAACGTCCGTATTCAATCCAAGACGGTTTTTTACTGCAACAAAGCATTCAGGACTCCAAGTGGTGGTAAGACAAGCTGTGGACGATCGCAGGCCATGGAGACCTTTGACATGGTATTGCCGCTGATGGACGATGGTTCTTTGACCATCCTTGAGGACATTTACGTTGTTAAGGATGGACAGGTATCTGTCGTGTCTTGGCCAAGTCGACCCTATCAGTATATTGTTTACTTCACGACTCCTACTGAGAGGAGAATCCTGCAGATTTACGGTCACGGGTCCTACGTCATCGAGGATGAGCCAGTGAAGTCCGTCCAAACATTTGGTAAGCACAGAAATCTGAGAGATGACGGCTGGGAATATAAAGGTATTGTTATGGAGAATGCTGTGAAGCAGACTCTCTGGGTCTCTACTGGTGGTCTACCCACGGGTGGTGGCGGAGAGCAGGAGTTCGATCTACTTGGAGCCGCTGAAGTGGCGCCCAATAAATGGAAGTTGTATCTGGATGAGACCAACACGACTTTGACCAGCATCGAAGGGGTTGGTGGTTCCGATGATACGGTCTTACAGCGGACGACTATTACCTTTTGGGCTGATCTGGCTGAGAGATGACGTGGTGCAGCTATGAGGGCTGTGTATGACGATTATGATGTGAAATTTCAAAGCTCTGGCCCGGGCGACCCTGAAAGGTCCCTCCTATCCATCCCATTTGGCCGTGACTCACGTCATC